TTCTTGTATTTTCTACACATATTCCTGTCATGAGTGCCGCAAACACGGATAGACTCGTCTCATGCGCCATTCCAGCTGTTTCCAGTTCGTGCTCACCACATTCACTGCTGCAGTTTTAAAGGAACACACTCCAGACAGTTTCAAAGTTGTCCCTCGTCTCCGCTTCGATTAGTTTTCTCCTATTTTCCACATGTTCCCATCTTAAGCACCGCAGTCGCTGATTTCGTCGCACACAGAGCCGTTCACGTTTGAACTCACGTGACTTGCTGCATGCTCTCATTCACGTCCTCCACATTCATAACCCAGCAACATCGGGTTATTACTGATATCAACCCACATTGGGTCACATCAAGCCAGCTTCCTAACCCAACAGTCTCAACCGAGCGTTTGGATTGAAACAATTACCAGCGTGTTTTATATGTGTAGGCTATAAAAAAGTACACAGTGTATGTTTTTGCTTAATCGCTTGCAAATATAAGAGGTCATACATACCCTGTAATATTAGAATAGGTACCCCTTAGTTTCAAAATACTTACAGTAGAAATAATTTGTAATTTTACAGATTATTACTCCTTTATTCTCCAAACTTCGCATATTGTTACCTTATACCTACACGGAGGTACTGAATAGGTACACTGTAATTACAAAAAAGTTACGCTGTAAATTCTGTTTACTTACGCAGTACATTGCGGGTTGTAATCTAAAGCGTTACCAATAATTCTCTTATTTTATATTTTCCAGTCACCTATTCAGCTCCTCCACAAATCAGTCTTCATCTTTGTTGTCTCCATTTCCCTCTCTCTTTCTCTCCTTTGCTGAGATCAGAATCTCAAGCAGAATTAATGTAGGTCAGCAGTCGGTGCCGAGTTACCAATTAGAAACAGCTGTGTTTTTTTTTTTTTTTGTCTTGTCTATAGAGTGAGCGGAGGTCAGCGATTTCTGCTTTCGGTCTCATTCTTATTGTTGTTGTTTTTTTCTGGCTTCTTTCCCCTCTCTCAGTTCCCAGTCTAAAAAATAATGTGTTTACTATCCCTTTTCCCTGCTCTGTGATAATGATAACACCTCAGCTCAACCTTTATAGGTATACTCTGTCTAACAAAGGTAAAAAAAGGTAACCTTTTTTTTTCCTCCTGAGAATCACAAAAGATGAACTGGATAGATAGATAGATAGATAGATAGATAGATAGATCCGTCTGCTAACTTATGTTAACAACATTCAGAAATGGAAAATGGATAAAATACATGTTTTGTGACTTGCAAACTTGAACATTTGGTTTTGAACACGTTTTGCAAATTCTGCTGAATTGTTAACACCAAGTTCTTGCAAGGACAAAACAACAAAGAACAGTTACTTGTGATAGCCATCATTATGCAGCACGTGTTTTTATAATATTTCTAGCTGTCATGGAATTGTATTCTAGCCGTTACATTTCCAGCTATTATTGCAAATAATAAAAAAAAATATTGTAAATTCTTTTTAACACTATAAATATACGCACAAAATATAAATATTTTTCTTACACTTACAAAATCAGAAAAACTTATTTTAAAGTCTTGCTTTAAACTTCTAGAAAGTAGCCACTTTGGAAAAAAAGTAGTGCACAAGGATGACCATTTCACAGTCGACCGCACCCTAGACGTCATTAGCGTATCAGCAAACTTCGATGGTTTTATATAATGATAAATATGAACTAAATAACATCTTACTTTTTAAACGTGAATAAGTACGTGAGTTGCATTAGTATTTTAATGTGATTGTAGCTCGGTAAACGATCAGAGACCTGACTCTGAAAACCATTTCCCTTCGCCGAGCTCTTCCAGAAACAACTTTGTCGCTGCCAGCACAGTTCACTAAACGAGGTTATAAGAAAACACGCCCAACATCTCCCTCTGTCCAATCAGCAGCTTGTATAGTGTACGTCAGACCAATGAGCGATTTAGGGGTTGAGTCACCCGTACTGTTGCTAGGGCATGGCTTCAACCGTGTTACTATCACTGACTAACCAATCATATGACATTTCGCAATGTCTCAACGTCTTTCCTGTGAACTTCTCTCTTTGAAGTCTCTGATTGGATACAAATGTTTTTAAGTTCCGCCCTTCATACTTTTCTACTGTCTGATTGGACGACGAAGCCATCAATCGATCTCCAGATTTTAGTTTACGTGCAGTCTGCATAAATTTTTGTCGAGAGTCTCTACGACTCAGAATTGAACTGTCCATATCGAGCGTCATCACTTTTTTGTTTATTTGTTTGTTTTGTTTTGTTTCCTCCCTTTGATTTACACCATTTGTTAAACAGTGTACAACACGTTTTTTTTTATTATTTTTATTTCTGTAAATACACCGGAATGGAACTTAATTCTCTTCTACTTCTTCTTGAGGCAGCAGAGTATTTGGAAAGAAGAGACAGAGGTATATAATGATGTTTGTGTGGTCAACTAAAAATAGTCTTTGAATTTTAATATTTCGTTGTTGTGCTGGTCTAATGCCACTTATAAACCTGCCGGCGGATCAAGTGTAGTTTAATTCAAGCCCAAAAGGACGATGACATCTTGTTACTGTAAGTTATTAAGTCTATAATATGCAATAATCAGAATGAGATGACAACGTTACGTGAATGACATTCGTCCCAGCCTCTGTTAAAACATTGATTCCTTTTCATTTTCCGTCAAATGTAACCTGGGGGAGGGGTGTTTGCTTTACAGTAAGTTGATAGAAGCATATTTTTTAAATGTTAAATGGCTTGACGTTAAAACATACCAAGTGTCTAACTTTCTAACATTCTCGTTTTTGTTAAATGAATCGCGCACGTCTGTATTTAATGCTGGTTTTGTTTACTTTCTCATTAGAAGCTGAACACGGTTACGCATCTGTTTTGCCGTACGATAGCGACTTTTCCAGAAAGAAAACTAAATTATCTCCTATTTCAAGAAAAACCCACAACAATAGGTAAAAACAGTACAATGTCATTGCTATATTAATGAATGAATACATTCAAACGATGTTTATTCTACATGTAATCGCCATTTTTGTTGTTGGGCTTGGCTGTGTATAAACATTGCCACGCGTACAGCGTTAACTTTCTGCTGCTGCTTTCTCTTTTCCACTGCTGCCATCTCCCTTTCAAATCAATCAGTTTTTACATAGAAACACCACACGTTTCATTAACCAATAACTTGTTGTTGTTTAAAGACAACTGGCAACGTCAGTGCATTTTAAGTATTTATCACGTATGCACAAAATAGCTGGAAACTACTAATCGGCAAATATGCTGATTTCCTTAGCATATAAAACTTGTTAAACATTTAAAGTTATATCACTTGTTTGCATGCATAAAATTTGGCAAACATTTTTTCTTCATGCATTCTTTGCATACAAACAGTACATTTTGAATTAATGTTTTGTTTACAAGTTGTTATTCTTTACATTTTAACTTCTTGTTGAGCATTAATGGGACACATGTACATGTCATAGACAGTATGCTTTCAAGTAGTGTACTTTAGGTGTTGTTAAACTCTCACTGTTGGGTGTGGTGTGAATAGACCCAAGTCAGCTGCTAGAGAGCTTTGAACCTGGATCTGTTTTGCTGCATTAGCCCCCTTTCCTTGCAATGTCAAAGCAAAACTGCAGGAGCCTAGTGTGCAGCCCTTCCCCCACAAATGCATAGAAAGCACTGAAAAAAGGAAATCTATGGAATTAGGGCTTTCCAGGAAATTTGCAATGTTTTTCTTTTAGCTTTTACCAAAACTTACTTAGGAATACTTTTTTGGAATTGTTTCCCAAATTGCAAAAACATCTGCTGACATTGTGGACTTTCAGTAGTGTTAAAGCTTTTTTTTTTCAAACACCATAAATTCTGCACAAGCCTCAGATATTAACATTGTGCCTGTATTTTTAGCCTGTATTTTTTTACCTGTCATGTGCTGCAATTTCATTATGTGTACTTAAGGATGAATAATAAGGGAAACATGATGTCATTATTTTTGCAATCCCATATGATGACTGTTAAGTGGTGCAGAAATTGCACACTGCAGCTTTGACATACGCCTAACAACTGAAGCTGTGACCCATATATTTTGTTTTTATCTTGCATGCATTACAATCCCTATATTTTGTTTGTTTGGAGAAAATGTAATTGCCCCATCATACACCCCAGCATTCATACCCTGGACTAAAATAGCAATGTGTTGTAGCATGCTGAATTTCCTCTGCGTCATTGAGTGCATGCTGTGCTTTACTTACAGTGATATCGGTCTACTGGACACAGTAAGGCCATGCAGAATTATTTTGTTTTGTGTATAATGTAGAATTCAAAGCAGAACAGCATGTAATGTGTGAAGGGGCCAGGGAGCACCAAAAGCATTCCATTTATACATTCATTTATTTATGCATTCATTCCAAGTAAAAATAAATTACATTTGACATTGCTCCTTTTTTTGGGTTTCAAAGATAATTTGTTGAATATTTGTGCTCGACAGCGGGGTCATTTTTGTTCATTCAAAATGAATAGTATCTTGATCAAATGGCAAACAAGAGTGCATATGTGGTGTTAACAAACAAATGCAGCTTTTCGAAGTTCCTTTTGGACCACATTATTATATGAAGAACATCACCATTAATTCAACACAAGACTTACTTGGTGTGTCCTGCTTTATATGATACTAGGACCCGTTTTTACTCAAAGTACATTAATGGGAACATTTTTTATTTTAATTTGAAAGATTCTTAATTTATTTGTCTTACAGTAGATCAACAGCATCACTCTATTAGAAAAACATCCTGTAGCAGTTGTTCAGAGATACAGAGTTGCTTTTTTATATTTTTAGCACTGGGTCAGTATACTGTTTTATTTTTTTTTAATAAGTAAATAGTCAATGTTCTTCTTATTATTTTTATTAACCAAACTCATCCATGGTTCTGTTTATTTCTTGTTCAGGTCATCACACAATGAGTTGGAAAAACACAGGTAAGAACATACCCATTATGGGTTATATTGGATTTGCTTATATCTTAAAAGCCAGTGTTTTGTAGTAATGATTTAAATTGTATAAAAAATGAGCAGGTTTGAAATTAACATTCGCCAAATGTGGGTGATAATCAACTTAATAGCCAATTTGGCAGCATATGTTTATAAATTATATTTGTGTTACTTTACAAGTGTTTCTGAGACACTGCCGGTAAACCCACTGCATTCAATATGAATTATTTGCTGTTAATATGCTGACTCAAAAGGCATGAGAATATTATGATCATGAAACTATATGTTGGGGTATAATCTTGTCATATTTACATTATATTTTGGAGCATGAATTTCAATGTCATTATCGGACACTTAGGTTGGCTTTTTTGAATGCACATCAGAGTGGAAGCTTTAAAGGTGCTGTATGTAAGTTTTTGACTCTACTAAAGCATAAAAATACCATAATATGTTTGCAGATATTTAAGAAACATGCTAAGTTAACATATTTGTTTACCTAAAAAACAATGCTACAGTCAGTTATTCTCCTTTGAAATGTGCGTTCCGGGCCGGAATTGTCGGTCTCTGTTTTGGTTTGTGAAACCCACCCACTGCCAGTTTACCCAATTGTATTTCGGCACACCGGGTTGCCAGTTGGCGGGAAACACAGCGCATTTAATTTCAGTCATGGAAGCTGGCAAACGAAAGGGGTCAGAGCGGGAAATAAAACTTTCTGCCCATCCTAAAAAGCCTCGACATCCATCCAAAAAACTTTATGATCAACAACGGTATAATAAAAGCAAAATAAATATTGGAGATGCGTTTCAGAGATGGTTGTTGGTATCGTCAATCTGGCAACCTGTGTGTGCGTCAAGTCTGAGGAGGAGGGACCGGGTGAAAAAACCCTCTCCAATAATTTAAATTTGGACTGCAATACCTAGTTCAACCACTCGGTGTCAATCCTACGTACAGCACCTTTAATGCTTTTGTGAAGAAACAACTGATCATTTTATGAACTGGCAGCCTGTCTGCTAATCAATGTGCTTGACAATATTTCATTTTGGAGTGATCTGTATTTAGAGTTTACAACTACATATAAACCCTGTTTTTCCTGCATTGCCCTTCAAGTGCACAAAAAGGCTGTTTGAAATGTTCAGTCATGTCCTTCGTCAGAATGGAACCTCTGAACAATTAACAACACTAGACAGAGTACCAGGAAAAACAGGAAAACCATACATGCAGGTTTATGACATTTTTTTGAAGAGACAAATAGAAATACAAAGGAAAAACATTTCAATGTCATGTAATTTCCTGTTGCGGCGCTTCTGTGTAGGAGCATCAAATTAGTTAATGCTGTAAAAAGTAATAATTAAACAAATGTACTAAAGGCTGTGCTATATTGTGAATATAGTCATGGCTGGAAGTTGTTGTTGAATAATGTGCAGCCTCATTGGTTTGATAAAAAGATTATTACATAAATTAAGGATACAGTTGTTTTAAATTAAAATGTTATTTTTGTATATGTACTTGTCTCTTTATCTGTGCCATGTCATATATTATTTTAGCACAGCTGGAACACTGTATTGACCCATCAAAAAATAGGAAAGAAACTTTCATCCATTCGTTGTCCTGGCTAAATTGAAAACCCTTTCGCTGGTGTGCTATGTTTAATTGACAAGAATTTGAAGTTTTAATGATAACAGTGACTTTTACTCTCCTACCTGCTGTTTGAATGTGCTAGTTTGCACAATGGAAGTACTTGTGTTATATTTTTGATAATCTAAGCATCCTGAACTTTTTTGACACAGAATTTTCTAATTCAAAGTGCTATGGAAAGTCAAATTAACACAAGTAACAAATGAGTAATTTAGCAATTAGTCATTTAAAATGTTATTTTGTAACAAATTAATAATTAAAACCTTATTAGTTATTAGTTATAAACAAAGTAGACTTCCTCCTTTCAGTTTGAAAGGTTTTCTAATTTATATTTGTGCATGATGTTGAGGCTGTCTTACCATGAGATGTGAGTCAACCTTATTAGCATTTTAAGTAAAAACATTCTTTAGAATTCAGCAATGCCACACAGGTTTGGGAAAGTCATGCTTGGAAGTAGCCTAAACAAACATAATAATTATACTGTGAACAATAAACCCAAATAACTATGGAAGCATATATTTAGCGAAATTCAATTTAAAATGCAATATTCAAAATGGCAACGCAATATTCAAAATGGCAATGTATTTCTGTATTTAAATTTACATTTTCCATTACCCATACGTGCAAAATTTGGTGCAAAAGGAAAATGAAAATTAAATTATATAATTTACATTTGCCATTTCCAACAGTAGTCTTAATATGTAAATTGCATGCAAATTTTAACGCTTTATAAGTTGCGAAATTAAAATGAAAATGTATAACACAAATTGCATTTTATTTTTTGAACCTAGAAGAGTACAAGGCTGGCTGTGCACAAAGTCTATTTCTAAATTAAAAAAAAGGGTCAATTCCGACTTTGCTATGACAATCTGGCGCTTCTGAGTCAGCTTTGTTGAAAACGACGTGTTTGAGAGAGGCGGGGCATAGAGGACCTACAATAATGTACAGTATTTGAAAAATAATGTGTTTTTTGAACATTAAAGCATGATTCTGTATTCTGTTACACCAAATACACAAAATAATGATCTTTAAAATAGCATCATATGACCCCTTTAAGTTAATGTTCAGTTGGATTAAGATCTGTGGGGCCACTCAGACATTTTAACCTTTCTTGTTTTAAGTCAGTCCAGCTTTGTTTTGTTCTGCCTTTGCTGATGCTCTAGGTTATCAAAAGTATAAAGTATCTTCCAAGTTAAAGTGCCCTTCCTCAATTGTTGGCACCCATCATGAATTTCAAAGAAATTATGCACATAATAATTCTAATATGTTCCTTCATGACCGCAGTGCTGCTTTGCCAAGTGCATGTTTTAATAAGCGTTTTCCTTGTCGAATGAGACAAAGAAAGGCATCTGATACCCACAGTAAGATGTGGTTTTGACAGCTTCAGTGATCATATTGTGATTGGAGCATTGTATTGCACTGTTTGCTCTCTGTGTGCAATTTATTAAAAAAAAAAAAAACACTTATAACCTTTCAATGCCTTATTGACAGGACAAATCTCTGATTATCAGCCAATGTCAGAAAGCAACAGTTTTTGTCTCTTTTTAGCCTTTATTTAACAGACAATAAAGTAGCAATAGAAAGCAACAGAAGAGGAGAAAGGAAATGGGTTTGGGAAAGGACATCAAGGACATCAAGGAACTTGAGATGCTCAAAGTGTTGTTGTGGAGTTCTGCCCACAAACCAACCCATGACATATGTCAATATCAGCAAAGAAATGGAGGCAGGAAAACAAAATGTCTTTTAAAAACATTTCCAAGCCACAGTTATGTTTATTTCTGAAATCATGTGTAAGATTACCTGTACATATCTGGACATCAATCAAGTTAATATGTGACTTCAAGACTGTTTTGGGATGTGCCAATGGAGTTGAATACATTATTATTTTCTATTTATAGTTTTTATTATTGGTGTTTGCTAAGGCAAACATCGCTGCTTGACAGGTATAATATAAGAGGTAACACCATAGACACTAAAAGATACTATAGTTTTAATGAGAGTGTTTGATTTTTGATTTGAGGCTCGAAAAATCCAGTTTGTAGTTTTGTATGTGGGTTTCAGGGCGTGTTTTAGGATTCATTTTGCCTTGGGAAACTGGTGATGATGTGGTGCTGGCGTCATGACTGAAGAACATGCCCATTTCTTGCCCTTCTGTTACTCAAAGAGGGAGACTGAAGACACCCTCCACGCTCTTCATGTCTGCTCATTCCTTTTTTCTGCCTCATCCTTTTCTTGAGTTGCTTCACTCTTCTGACTCGTCAGGAGCTTGAGAAGGAGGTGCAATAGCTTGGTATAGCATGGTTTTTAAATGTTCAGTATTTGAAAGCAAGTCTTTAGCTAGTTTAGCAGCAACTTGTCAGTGGAAAACTGACAAGAGGTCGACCGATGTATCGGTTTTGCCGATTAATCGGCACCGATAGTTGATTGCTGGAACTATCGGCTATCGGCAAATATTCATGCCGATAGTTTTCTGGGTTGCGTCAGTTGAGGAGCTGCTGAGAAGGGTCTGCTGTCATTATACAGTACGAGAGCGGCCTCTAGTGGTTAAAATCACTGACAGCACGTGCTATTTGTTTAGACACGTGATACTGCACGCTGAACAAAGCGGGAAACTTCAGACACGGATTTAAATGCAGCCGACAGAAAATCCTGCCGCGCCATTCACAAAGTTTTCCATTAAATTACATTATATTTGTCTCGAATCGTTGTTAATGTACATAATGAATTGTGCATTTTCAGCGAAACGTTTGTCTTTCTGTGGCTCTAATAAAGTCTGTATGGTTCATTTATAGAGCTATAATATAGATTGCGCTTTCTCTTTCCGTTTGCTCCGTTTTTTAAACACCGAACTTCAAACTCATCTATGCCAAATTGTTCATTC